CTGCAGCTATTTTCTTCTTTCTCCTCTCTGCTAATCACCTGGTTTTGCAAGAATAGGAGAGACTGAGTCATGTCAAACAGGACTCAGCTGATGTGAAGATACATGAATCCAGAACTGCTGCCCAAGTCTCCACCACCCAGCTGGTGCCTCAACCTGCAGGACTCAAAAAAATCCCACCAGGCCCTACTGCTGCCTTTTTGGTGCACATAGAAGTGCTGCAGGTAATGTCTGTTATCTGCCTGCTCCCTGGCATTCTAGCCGCTGTGCAGGGATTAGGAACTGATGGTGAAATAAAAGGAGATTTAAGGACTCACATGATACATAAGAGGTAAAAGTAAGATTGTCTGTAGTCTGTAGTAAATTTTAAGCCAACACAATCACCAGATTCTGTAATTATTTTGCTTGTTATTGCAGAAGAGCCATACATTTTAATATGAATATAGTTGTAGTGCAAAGGCAATTCTGGAAGAGTGAGTAGAGTTCTGCCCAGGGTGCTGGTGTGGGACTCAGGAGGTCCAACATTTCTACTTTTTCTCTGCTGGATGTTCTCCAGATTTTTCTGAGTTGTACATCCAGGGAACAGAAACACAGAGTAATGATGAAACCTGCTGGACCTTCCAACATCCTGCCACACCAGTTTTGTGCAGCTCTCTGTTTTAAGACAATAGACTTCAGAGCTGTTATGTACGTTGTCCCCTGCCATCCCTTCCCTTCCACAGCCAAGAGGATTTTAAGAACTGAGCAGTATCATCAACCAAGACTATAATTCCACTGTTAATTCTTCAATGTACAAATGAGGGTCTAAGGAGAAGGGAAGATTTTCCTTGTCAAGCCTGTGCTAGTGTCACACAACAGTGACTAGTAGTGAAGGAAAGGGATCTGAGTGCCCTAGCTGTACTCTCCCATAGTGCCGTGGGCATCAGTTTATTCCAGTGGGATGCAGATCAGTTGCCAAGAAGAAATGGAAAAAGTTTGCACCATTGCACTTTTGGTCACATACATCCAGTTCACAGCAGCGAGCTGAGCAGCTGGTAGCAGTCACATTGCCCACTTCCCTTGGAGCCAAGCTACCAAGAACTGACCTTCTGCGTATGCCCTACTTAAAAGTGTCCTTAGGCAGACAGAAAAGAGATGTTAGTTCATGCTGTTTAGACTTGAATTTCTCACAGAGATAAGAGTGGCTGCAGTAATCCTGCAGAGGCCTTCACATGGAGGCCTTTCTCTCTGTTCCAGTAAAAACAAACCTTGTGGGCAGACTCACAGCCAGGAAGATAAGACTCATGAATAATAACACATCACACCCTTTGATGGACTTCAAGGCTGTACAAGAGGAGACCACACGGGCTGAGTTTGTTAATCTTAGCTTTGGAAGGTTAAAGCTGATGGAGGGGATCTTACCATTGCCTTCTACTACACAAGTGTGGGGACACAGAATCTGCAGCCAAATTTCTTGCTTGTGCACAGAAAAAGGATGAAAGGCAGTGGGTGCAAGTTGCAATGTGAGAAGTTCCAATTTGAAATTAGTGCAGGAAAATTTGTCATGAGAGTGCTCACATTCTGCAATAGGAACCCAGAGGCTTCAAGATATCTACATCCATAGAGGTATTCAGAGCCGAACTGCCCAAGGCCCTGAGCAACTTCACTTAACCTGCAGCTGCTTTGAGATCTCCAGAGGCTTCTTCCAATCTAAATTGTAGGGGAACATCAATTTAATCACAAAATAAGAGCAATACATCAAATCTGTACCCTGCCTTACTATCATGGGGCTTCTGAGGCAGCACATAAATCTCTGCTGAAGAGGTGTCAGAATGCATTTTCTCAGGAAAAAAAGAAAAATATTTGGTGAATGAACTTAAAAGAAGAGCTCATGGGATTCCATCAGGCTGAGACAGTGTTGTACAATCCTATTCCTCAAGTTTTCCAAGATTTTGGAATAAATCTTTGCCAATGCACACCAAAGACACACTCTGTCCTGTTGCTTTCTGCGTGTGACTGTTGTATCTCTCATAAAAATTCAAGCAAGATCAAATATTCCAAAAAAGCTGTATCCAGAAAGACTGTAAACATGTATGCATGTACTCAAACCCTGCTGCTTCTCAACATCCCAGAAGGATGTGGCAGAAAGAGGCAGTCAGGCAATTTACAAGAATGTTTATCTGCAAAATGGATCCAAATTAAACATTTTTCTTTGGCATATGTTGCAAATTTCTCTGACCTTTAAAAGTGTAATTTACCCATCAATTACACTTGAGAAAATACACTTCTACCTAAAATTAAAGGGAAAATGAGACTAAATGTTAATTTCTAGTTAATTGCTCAACACATTTGCTGCAACACATATGAAAAAAGAATACTAAAGTTCTAATCCTGAAGATTAAGTAACAAAAGCTTACATTCACTTTCTCCCTTCTGCCAAAAGAAACTGATACTACTGAGATAGGAGGGTTTGGTTTTGCTTTTTGGTCAAGCCTGAATGCACAGAAACATTGAGTGCTCTTAAGGTGGTCATCATTAGACTTTGGTTGATGTGCCTTAAAACTGTTCTCCAGTGTGTGAAGTTGTGATAACGCAGAATTTCATTAAGCATAGTTGTCCAAAAGTTAATTATTTAAGTATTGTTTCTCCCTGTCAATTTGTAATCAGAGAGAATGAAAAATGTTTCCAGGTAACAGAGCCCCCTGTCTGGAGGGAAGAAGCTTTCCTTAAGTAAATCTACATCTCAAAGCATACCCTCCTTCCCAGAGTTGCCAGCATGTAGGCATTTTGAGCGTACAGGCATATCATGTTAAGAAGCATGTTCACTCGATATGAAAAACATGTGATTTTTCATGGCTTTTTTTCTTGGTCACAATTACTCTATGTTTAGACAGTAAAAGGTCCAGTTAAAATAATACACGTGTCTTTGATTTTCTCTGCTTCAGCTGTCATCACTCTGGACCCCAGGCACAATCTAGTGACCTCCTTCCTCAACCCTTAAGGTTTTCTGCCCAAAGGGATGGGATCTCTCCTTCTTTTCCTGCTCCTTGATAGCTCCGTTTGCCTGATTGCACAATAACAAATTAACCTCCTGTAAAAGTGTAATTATTTTATGCCACCTAAAACTTCTGTGTGTTGCAAAGGTTATTGTGTTTATTCCTTCTGGTATCATGATTCAGTTTGTTCTCATTGCTGATGTGATTTTTTTTCTTCATTTCTCCATCAGCCAACTGTTACCCCAAAGCATTTTTGTCATGGTAAGCAGCCAAAAACCTGGAGCACCAACACAGTTCCTGGGCCAGTATACTGGGGGACATGGGTGCAATGGGACACAATAGGTTGCATTTATACCAGATGACCTGCTTGGTCTATATGTGCAGCAATTCTCCCAGAGGAGCCAAAATCCACAAGCTCTAATTTTCTGAAACATGACTTTTGGACATCCACTCTTAGACTGTGTACAGCAGGAAAATGTCAGATTGTGAAGGCCTTGTTTTGTGATAAAGCCAAGGAGGAGGAAGACAACATAGTTAAAAAATGACTAACTTGGTACACACTGTTAAATTATGGTTTGGTTTACAAATCCCAAAGCCACAATATAGCCTTGAATTCTTTCAAGTTGTTCCTGATGGTCAGGAGTCTGGTGTGCTCTCAACTCACTGCTCAGGGAAGCTGCTCCATAAGTTCCAGCTAAGTTTGGGCATAATGGTAGGTAAGCACGGTGTAGGAAAATGTCTCATATCCTAAGAGGCTCCATTGTGTTGACTCTTTTTATAATACACCTTTAGAGCATTTTTTTTTTGCTTTCTAAAGTTAACTTATGAAGCACCACTTGCAAGTCTTTATACAGTACATTTTTCCTTGCAAATTGTGCAAACTTTGCTGCACAAAACTAATTTGCACCAGATTCTGATAAGAAGACACAAAATCAAGGTCCTATCTGAGAGGAGCCAAGGAAAGAAACACAGATAAAATTTATTATTATTTTTTTTTTTAAAAGCTTTTTTGGGGTCAGGAAGGGATTTCAAGGACAGTGTCATTGAAACAGTTGCCAAAATTTTATCACATGTCAGCTAGAAGCTCTATTCTCCTGGAACAAAGATGGTTTTGTTTTCCTTTTGTTATCTGGAGTTTCTATAGCTGTTCTTCAAGCATCTCTTTTGTGAGTGAACAAAAATCAATCACAGAATAAAACAGGGAGTTTAGGAGTGTTTAGTTGCAAAAGCACAATTAAGCATTTTTTAGATCCACTCCAGTTTTTCAGCAATTTCAGCATAGTCAGGTATGTTGCTGGGCTTCTTTGTAATATCCCTTGGCAGATTTTAAATGGCTACCTGTTCAACATTTTGCTTCAGTCTTACTGTCCGTGTTTGAGAAAGAGGAGAAGTCAGGGCATCCTGCTAGGACACAGTAACCTGGGAAGGCAATGAGGACATTACGCACTTCAAGCTGGCACCTAAGCCCTAACCTGGTCCCACCCTTGGAAAGAATTTTGCTAAAACTGAGATGAAACCCTAGTGAGAAGTAACAGAGTGTTTTCTCCTTTTTCTGGTGGCATAGAAAACAATGACACCATTCTCTGTGTAGCCAGCCACACCCTTACTTTAATAGACATTCCACACCAGACATTTCAGAGGTGAATATTTTCCAGCAGCTAAAATTTAACCACTCTATACTTCAGATCATTTCATCAATCTAAAAGCCTCACATATTCCAGACAAATAAAAAATCTTCTGTTTTGCACAGAGTGAGAAACCCTTAATGTAATGGGGGAGCTCAGCATCCAGAAAGACTCTGCAAATAGTATAAACAGCTACTCCTTCTATTTACATTTAATGTTCTCTCTCTTATTACTATTATAGAAGCAAGCACAGCTAGAGAATGATTAGAACAAGGATTTTTGCTCCTAGGATATAGGACCAAGTCTAATTGGGTGTTCAGACCCAATTGCACCAAGGACATTCCACTCTGAAAGAGGAGGGGTGGAAGTACCATATTTGTAGCAAAGGAGACGTGTGAAAGGGAGGGGAATCAAAGTGGTGTGGTGCATAAATACAGGCAAATCTCCTCCACAGCCTTCTGAATGCTAGAGAGGAGGAACCAAAGCAGACATTGGTGGGGTTTATTAAGCACTGAGGTCGAGCACTTTCAGATAAGTTAACGTCCTCGGTTTGTAATAGTTCATAAATAGATTTTACTTTGCATGGGAAAGTAGCATAGGCTACTACTGGGTAGCAGTAGCTAGCAAAAGGAAGAAATGCTTTAGAAACTGTTGTTTAATGTGAGGGTCAGTTTGCTTTCCAATAATCTCTCTTTCTGTTTTTTGATCTGTCTCTGGAGATTGACGCCCCATGTTTGTTTTCTCAGGCAGGAGGTGACTAGAGCACTCAAAGCTCTACAGAGACAAAGAGGAGCAACCAAAGCAATGTCACTGGCAGGAGTAAGCTGCCTGGTGACCGGCGCGGGAGGGTTCCTTGGCCGGAGGATTGTTTGCTTACTGCTGGAAGAAGATGAGGCGCTGGCTGAGATCCGGCTGCTGGACAAAGCCTTCAGCAGGGAGGCACTCTGGAATTTTGGAAGTGAGTACCATCTTGTGAGCATGGTGAGCTATGAGTATGCATGGTTCTGGCTCAGGTGGATGGTTGGAAGTCCTTACCTCTCTCTCAAACCCAGCTTTGTTGGCAAAGATTTTCTTTCAAGGAAGTTTTGCTTTATTCCTATCTCTCCCTCTCTCTCCAGCACAGAAATCAGTCATAAGACTTGATAGCAAGAGTTTTCTTCACCAGGCCCTGAGGATTCACTAAGACCAATGTACTGATAGTGCAGCAAACAAACTGCCTTCAGCCTGGCTTTCCCTTTGCACTCTCAGCACTGGCTGAGGTTTCTGTGGATATATCTTAAAATTTGATTATTATTATTGCAGTTGCTTGGAGGGCAGAAAATTTGTGATATGCACTGAAGAGACAGGACCCATTTCAAAGGGCAAGCCAGAACTTTGTTTCTTTGAATGGGCTGGAAACAGCATAAAAGAGAAGTACATTCACTGTCAGCAGCAGTCTGTGGTAGAGAAAGCAGCTCAGAAAACTATTTTGTACTTCACTGTACCCCATTTCCTGGGATCTTGAGCCCCTCTATAACAAGCCACATGGGTACCTAATCATATTCTTTAGTGCCTATCTGACTGGACATTTAACTGACATGCATTCTTTCATTACATCATACCCTCAAAGCTATTCTTCCCCCATGCTGACATTACCTTTGTGGGAACCTTTATGGAATACCCCAATATAATTCACTTAAGAGCCACAATCTCTCTACAAAGTGCTTAAGTGCCATTGAAAAGTAGTAACAGTACACCATAAACCTGGTGCAAATTGTGCAAGCATTCAGAATGGCTTTATATGACCTTTATGAAACTTCCTTCTCATTAAATCTCATTCACCATTCCTCTGTGGATTTGCTAGATGCCCTTGAGCTTTGCAGCAGCCCTTTCTGCTCTTTTCCAGGCAGGTCCCACAGTGTCAAAGCCTGCAGCTGCACGGGCTCTGGCAGCACCAGTAGCGTGTGTGAACACAGTTCGGCTGGGCTGCAGCAGTTCTTTTGTGTTCACAGAAAAGAGCTGTGCCCTCTTTCCCCCTCCTCCCCCTTCCCTTCCCAGAATATTGCCCAGTCACTGCCTTCTCTCGCTCTTGTTACATTCCTGATGCCTATCTGAACCTGAGCTGTTCAGAACCAGCTCAGGAAAAATCAGAACTTTCTTTCCCCCTTCTTTTCCTCCCACAGACAGGCACTAAGTACAGCTGGCATGCAGTTCAGCTGTGTTTTAACTTCCGTACGCTGCTGCACTTTGACTATTGGTCCTTCTGTTTCTATGAGCTTCTGTAGCTAAATGTCTTCAAGTGCCTGTGCTCAGGACATATGATGTAGCTTCCCACTATTCCCCTTCAAGCCCTTCCCTAGAACAGCAATCCCTCCTCCAAACGCAAAACTACTGCAGACGTGGGGCTGAAGTCTTCTCACCTCCAATATTTTCACTGCAGTGACTTTGGCTTACTGGCACACATTTGGATTTATTGAACACCCAGGAGCAGAACCGAGTCACTTTCTGTCTGACTGTCTGACCAAGTCACTTTCTGTCTCCAAGTCCCTTATGTTTGGAACATTGTGCAGAGTCAGGTTCATGGTTAATAAGACACAGGAGCATGTGCAAGTTGCAGCTCTTTGTGCCAGTTTCTGCTGAGGGCACTCAAGGACGCTTGTCTTTTACTGAAGCAAGTTTCCTGCTGAGACTTTTACAATCACACCCAGTCCATATAGAACAGTGGCATTTGTTGTCTTCCACACCCATAGGGAGTCTGGCAGAGTCCCCTCAATGTAATGTGCTGCAAGCTGGGACCTGCCCAGTTGTACTGCGTGGTTGAGAATTAATGTGGTATGGAACAAGGTAGTTGGTGCCACAGGTTTTCTACCTCTCATTTCCATTGCATCATTTCTCTGGTTTCAGTTATGCAGTTCTTTTTGTTTACAAGTATGCGTGCAGCTCAGGTTTTTGCACTACTAATCCAGAGATGCTCCAAAGTAGAGGAAAAATAGGGGGAGAAGGAAGGAGTGGCGCTTTGTTGTTTTTAGTTTTCTTGTTGTTTTGGCTTGGTTTGGTGTTTTTTTTCTTCTTCACCCTGTAGTTTTGTTGGGAGAAAGTTGGGAAGTCTCCTGGCTTTTAGTTCAATGTGGTAGATTTGCCTTTTTCACCGTATTAAAAAAAAAAAGTAAAGTAGTTGTGGAAAAACTCAGCAGCTGAAATGGGAACAGAATAAACATCTCAGCCTCCCTGGGCTAAAGAAACTAATAGCCTGCATTGCCCTTTACATATGAAAGTATGATACAGTTTTCAATTTTGTCCTGTGAGAAAGTGAATTTAGATCTTTAACGAACCATTTAATGAACTTTAATGAACCATCAATTTACCCAGGAAAGTAGAAAGCTCTCATGTACAGGACATCATAGGAAAAAAGAAAGAGAGTTTGTAATAATCTGACTGGATTTTTGAGTCAGACACTGCTCATGACAGGACGTTGTATTTTACTAAGTAAACATTACATTTCCAAACAGAAACTACCATGTAGCAAGTGGAAAGCACTGCTTACAACTCAGCTTCTTATAACCACAACTTCAATTGCAAGCCCAAGCAAAGCACAAAGCAGCTGGACCGCAGCTTTCCAACGACTGATACCCACCATCTCTGTGATCAGATTTATAAAAGGCAGTTCCTTTTATATTTTTCCTGAGAGCTTTGATTTTCATGTGTAAAACCCTCAATTTGCTTAGCTTATGCCCAGCCACAGTAACCACTCTAAAGTACATGTATGTCAGAATTTACATCGTGAAAATCACACAGTTCAGTCCTTTGGATTAGTGCATCCCCACAAAGTATTACTCGTGGAGGGCATCCCTCTATGGACTATGCAAAGACTAATATTTGTTCGAGCAAATCTACCAGATGCTTCACAAAAAGCCTGTCTCCATCCATACGGGTAGAGATCAGTGTAAACCACCTGAAAACAGAGCCCTAGGAAATAAGTGTGCTCTGTAAAATTAAAGAGCACAGGACGGTGCATGTGAGTGATTGCGGTGGGAGAGCAGCAGCTTTAAATTTAGTGAGTTTTTGGAAACACTGAGCAATTAGGCTCTTGTTCCATATTCCAGATCGAGAGGATGTAAAAAAATAAGGCCCTCAGACTTGTTGTGACAGAACAATTGTTAAACTAAGGCAGGATTAAATCCTGTTAGGTTATGAGATGAAGAGAGAAAACCACTGTAAGTGGTATCTCACACTCAGTTCCACGTCTCAGCAGCTGTGTCTGTCAGTGTTTCTCCATTAAAGATATGGGGTAAAATGCTGCCTGCTTCAGAACCAGTGACAAAACAGTAGCATGCACACAATTTTAGCCAGGGCTGAGGTTAAAAGCTATGTAAATTAATCAAGTCCTTGCCTTGTGTACATTCACTGAAGCTGGAAGAAGACACAGCATCTGTCTGTGCCTGGGGAGCCCTCTAGTGTATGCATAGCAAATGTGGGTGAGGACTTGCTGTGAAGGCACCACGTCCTTAGAAGACACAGTTTGCTGAGAAAACCTCTCCCCTGACAAAGCTGCAGGCAGGTCACCAGATTCCCAGCAGAGCAGCATGGCTTCAGTCTGTAAGTTCCTCTGTGCCTCCTGTGGGTGGAGAGGGATCATTCTTCACCTTCAAGACGGGAGCACACAGTGTCTGGCTGTTTGGTGCTTGGGTTAATACTTTAATAAGAAGCCAACCTCTAGAACATATATAGCTAGAGCTGCTCCCCTTGTGAAATTTAAAATAGATCAGTTTCATACCTGAAGGTCCCTGCTGGCAGTGGAAAGGATTTCTTATTATTTTCTTTTTTTTTTTTTTTTTAATATATGTATAAGGAATTACATTGAATATGGCTCTGAAAGTGTGGTAAGTGATGCAACATAGGCCTTATAGCTCTGCTGTTAGCCCCTGACATTACAGCCATTGGAAAATGCCTTCTGTTTCACCAGCTTCAGCAAGCACACAGCCCTCCATCACTTTTGCCAGCACTCACATTAGGATCCCTAGAAGGACTTTGCTTTGTTTTCTGCTGCCTCTGCAGAGTTCCAGGGCAAGACTGAGGTGAAAATCCTGGAAGGGGACATCCGAGATGTGGAGTTCCTGCACCGTGCCTGTCAGGGGGTCTCGCTCGTCATCCACACGGCATCCATCATCGATACCCTGGGCCTCGTGGAGAAGCAGCTGCTCTGGGAAGTCAACGTGACAGGTGAGAGGGCAAAACACCTTCCTCAGGCCCCTGCCTGTCACAAAATTTCACTATATTCCCTAAAAGAAAAAGTTAATCCTCATCCCTCTGAGCCACAAACCCTCTGTGCTGTGAATGTGCACTGCCTGCTTTCTGTGCATACTGATGCTTCAGCTCCTAGGTGAGGATATGGGGAAGATGTTCTTATTGACATGAAAAACTTTCTTGGTTCTTTGTTCTTCTCTACCACAAATGAAGGACCTCCTCTTTAGAAATACGCAAAACACATTTCTACAGACTACACTTTTATATTGACTGCACATCCATGTCCAGAGTAAGAGAGTAGTCTTTGTAGTTGTATTGTCGCTCTTACACGCATTCTAAAACAGTGGGATGGCATTTTGGTTGTTTCAGCCTGGCCCATCACCTGTATATTCAGTTTCCAGACCCTTTCATTTCTGGTCTGTCAGAGCTGCAGATTGGCAGGGACCACAAATTGGAGCCCAGTAGGTAGCTATTAAGGACCCTGCTGGAGAGAAGGTCAAAAAGGCAAGATCCTGTAAAGCCATCCATTGTGTGGTATGAAAAAATAAATATACAGGAGGAGTAGTTCAGAGAGATAATTTGTCCTGCTACAATCTGTTGTTGTTGTTGTTTTAACAAGATCTGATGATAAATATCAAAGTTCTCTTCCCTTTTCCCTTCCATATCCACTCTGATGCTCTTTCAGCTTTCTGCCCAACCAAGACACTGCTAAGTACTTCACAAGCATGTAGGATTAAAGTTTTCCTTCTCCCAGAAATATAACATTTATAACAAAAATGTGTCCAGGAACCATATGTGCATGTTCACAAACCAGAACAGAAACAAACAAAAAAATCCATTCAATTCCCAATGAATTTTTGATTTAAATCTTCCTGGTTTCTAATTTGGGCATACAAACATAGGATACTCAGCAGGGGAAAGTTCCTAGATCTTAAATTCCACAAACTGGAGCAATCTGGGTGTGAGTGGATCCCTCAAGGGAACTGGCAAAGCCTGAGAACATGTAAGGGATGGGTCCAATCCCTGCAAGAAGTTGGCCTTCTTTTGGCAACCATATTCTCAAGTGGGAACCTCTCCACTTCAGGCCTTTTGAATGGGATCTCTAGAAAGAAATGCAACAAAGCAAGCCCACGTGGTATCTCCAAATTCAAACCTCATGTCAAAGTGTGAGAAGATCAATAAATTGTGAGTTAAATTTGCCATGATGTGGAGATTGTCTCATATTTCACACAAAGCCTCAAGGACAGAGTATCCAATTAGGAAGAGAAGGGAAACAAATTAAATTTTTAGGAGAAAAGGAATGAAAAAAATAAGTAATTGTAATCCAGAAATGTACTCTCTGTGAATCAGATCCTCACGTCTATGTTTAGTCCTTGTTCTTGCAATATTGACTCGGAAGGAAGACAGACTTTGCTCAATTCCAATTTGCAGATCGGGTCCATGGAAGGCTTACCTTATGACATGATACAGGAAAGATGCTTAAATTCTCATTACTGTAAGAAGCTTTTCATGTTTTACCACACAGCCTTTATTTTCAAATAAAGCACTTTTTATTCGGGTGAAATTGAACCCAAAAGGATAGCAACTGCCATGATAATGCTATGTTTGTTATTTTAAACTTGCTTTCCATTTGATTTTACCCAGTTCTTCCATACCTTTCCACTTTCCTACATTTTTAAAACAGCGCTGATAGCAGGAATAGTTAATTAAACTATTAATTTTTAGATTAATGTAATTTAATCATTACTTTTTGAGACGATCATGGCCTATGTGTTACCTAAACACAGTGATTTGCTTGGATTTACTTTTCATGTGACTTTATTCCCAGCTGTGTAACTTTTCATTCTTTGTACTGCTTTAGTTTTTCCTACAGCCTCACCCAGATTAACACTGCATTTGTTTCAGCATCTCTTATTTTCTTGTTCAAGTTGGAAAACAGAATTTTTGTGCCCTAACAATTTAAATTCTTTTCATCCCTTCTTCATTAATGGAGCCATATTTTGCTGGCAACATTTCTCACTCCTTTGAACCACTTCTATCACTGTATTTTCCTTTGCAATGCTTTGTGTTCCCTTTGGTTGTTGTCCTAATAGACTGAGAAGACTTGCTAACATACTTGTGTGCCTTACTGCAAACACAGGATTTTATCCTCCAGATTTTTAGCAATATCTTTCTGATTTTGGTTTACTGTTTCATGTCCATAGATTTTCAAACCTCTGAGCTGTATCTTCTCTTTCAAAGGCACTGTCTCTTTCATCTGTAATGTCTCTCATTACACCATGCACAACATATAAGGTGATTTCTGCCTCAAAACTCAGAAGAAAAAAGAGTCAGTTTTTAATTCAAACAAAATACTAAAATATCTCTTACCTCTCCTACCCTTGAGACAAGCATTATTATAGGATGTTGAAAGTAAGAAATCCCACATTTTGAAAATTTTATACAAAAAGTCACATTACGAGCAGCTGCAGTGAAGTTAAAAGCAAAAGCCAGGATATTCCAGAAATGGAAGCACACACATCAATCTGTGGTTTTTGATTACCTGATATCATGTGTCGTTCTGACACAAGGTCTTTCTCTTCAAGCCCTCCTCTGATTCCCTTTGAATGATGGATGAACTCCCATTGGGTGAAGTTTTGAAGCAAACCATCAGGTTCCACATTAATTCTGTCCCAGCTTAGAAACCACCCAGGAGCATCCTTAAGCCTAGGAAGCAAAGTATTCAGCATATGCCATAGAAAACTGATGAGATGGAGGCTTGTGACATGGTGTTGATGGAGCAACATTTTACTCAAGCATAAAAAAGCAACCCACAGAATTAAAATGAAACGTTCATTCCTGTAAAACTTCTGCAGCTACACTGACACCACTTTAGAACAGGTTCAGGCCTGGTATCAATGAACATGTCCAGCTCAGGACAGGATTCCTACCGCTGTAGAGAGAGGAGATCTGGTGGAGCTCAGGCCAGAGATGCTGTCCTTGACCTAATAGGTCCACCTTTCTTTTCCCCACCTGGGAAGCTCCAGCTGGAGCCTATTTCAGTTAACTCAGCTACATACCTCCTAACTTCCATATTTCTCTTTTGAAGGTACTCAGATGCTGCTGGAGGCATGTGCTCGTGGTAATGTTCAGCACTTCATCTATACCAGCACCATAGAGGTAGCAGGCCCAAACTGCAAGGGTGACCCAATTTTCAACGGTGATGAAGATACACCTTATGAGAGTACATCCAAATTTCCTTATGCTCAAAGCAAGAGGCTGGCAGAGGAATCTGTGCTGAAGGCAGATGGCCAGATGTTGAAGGATGGAGGCATGCTCGTGACCTGTGCCCTGAGATCCATGTACATTTTTGGAGAAGGATGTCCATTTCTTCAAGGTCATTTGGATAAGTGCCTGCTGAATAAAAACGTCTACCTGCGTTTCTCCAGGAAGGAGGCTTTAGTAAACCCTGTGTATGTGGGGAACATTGCCTGGGCACACGTGCAGGTGGCCAAAGCTTTGCAGGTCCCACAGAAAGCCAGACACATCAGGGGGCAGTTCTACTACATCTCAGATGACACTCCTCACATGAGCTACGCAGACCTAAATTACGAGCTGACCAAGGAGCTGGGCTTTGGAATTGAGCCCTGGCTCCCCATGCCTCTGACAATGCTGTATTACTTCTCACTGCTGCTGGAGATCGTGAGCTTCATGCTCAGGCCCTTTGTCAGATACATCCCCTCAACCAACCGCCACCTGGTCACTCTGCTGAACACCCCCTTCACTTTCTCCTACAGAAAGGCACAAAGAGATTTTGGCTACGTGCCCCGCTATACGTGGGAAGAGGCAAAGAGGTACACTAGCCAGTGGATTGCCTCCATTGTCCCACAGAGGAGGGAGTACTTAAAAAGCAAGAAAGCCTAAATGCTAAGAAGAGCAGAGGGCTGCCTCACCAAGGCTGGCCCCTCATGAACCAGAAGGCAGCTGGGTAAACAGCAACAGCAAATAACTACCCAGTGTTTGATTGAAAAGAGAAAAAAAGAAAGTGTAACAGCAGACTCAATCATCCCCAGAACCAAAATAAATAAAGGTGAAATGTCCGTTTGTTTGTCAAGAACAGTCTGATCAGGGTAATGTTATTGTATAGTCTTAGTCCTACACTTGGGCAGCACGAAGATGTTGAATAAGACTCCACACAGCCCTTCTTCTGACTCCACGTATTCTTTAAGGCTTTTTAAAGTAATAAAGGCACAATTTGCTCTAGAAAGATGACTACAGTTTACGAGCGTGTTAAGCTACACCCAACTCATTCAGCATTACACAGCAGGCAGAAGCCACTCGATAGCAAAAGCAGTCACTAATCTTGCTCACTTGTTCAAAAATGTTGCCCAGCTTTCTGCAGTACTGACAGTACAACCTGAGAGGAAATATGGGCAGAGAAAGCCAACAGCACAGGGTTCGGTGCAACATTATCTTTAATGAAGGCAGCTGTGTAGAGGGAAAGGAACAAAGTTATATCTGTTCTTCATCTCTTCTCATTTTCCTAGTTAAGATTTATCAAACTTGATGGCAGCCCAGGAGAACTAGAGCTGCAATGTGATGGAAAGGAGAAAAATACTGCAGGACAGCCTTGGTCACTGGGGACATTCCGCTGCAGATTAAAGATGTTTGAGAACACTGGAGAAATGACAAACATGGCTGAAAAGAAATGTAACACTATTTTCAGGTTTCACCTGGGAGCAGAGGTTAACATTAGCCAGTAGGTGCATGTGCATGTATCCCGTTCCTGTGTTTTTTTCCTTCTGGCTCTGTACAGCTTGTGTTGTAAAAGAAAACAACTGGTTCATTTTGTTTTGTTATGGTTTGGTTGTTTGTTTGTTTGGTTGGTTGTTTTTTGGGTTGGGAGGAGGGGTTGGCTCAAACCTAGCTTTGTGAGGCCTTTTTTGATTTTGGATAAGAGATGTGTGTGTCTGTGGTAGTACTCTTATGGTTTGTATGGTGGGGCACCCTACACACACTATCCTGTGCAATTTCTGTAGATTACAACAGTACTTGAACTCGCCAAACTAGTGCATATATCTCTCAGCTTTTGAATTGCTTTGGAAATGCTCAGATGGAAAATTCTATTCATATGTAACTTGGGAGCAACATGCAGTGATGTGGTGTGGTGTAAGTAATACCTTCACTCTGCCCAAATGGAGTATAAACAAGCCCAAGAAATATTTTGTAGCAGTTGTGGAATCCTTCCCTTTCTCTTACCCCCACCCTGCTTTCCATTATGCTTACTGGTGTTTTTTTTTCCTTCTTCACCACCGTGGACGGTTATTTAAGCATGGATTTCAAGCAACCTTTGAGCCCCCAGGAGGTGTGAAAGGCACCACTCCCTGCTGACTGATCTGTTGGGCCACGGGTGTCACACCAATGGAGAGAAAAGAAGAATGAATAAAAGGGAAACTGAAAAGTGGAGGATAAAAGGCCCACCCTAAAATAAGTACTTTGGAGAAGAACTCCCAAAGAAAAAAAAACCTTAGACGGAGTAATTCCCTGAGGGGAAAAAGCACCCCTCCCTCCCCTCTCTGCCCCATGGCCCGCTTGCTGCAAAGCTCCTTGGCTTTCTCCCATCCCCTGCAGTGATTGAATGAGTTCCTGGGATCAACAGCACCCACGGTGGTGACCACCTGTCTTCTTTCTGCAGAGACTCCTTGCTTTAATTTCCTACACGTTTTCTATCACCCATCTTCCCCATACTCCTGAGCAACTCGGATTTGTAATCAACTGGTTTGGCTAACATTCGACCCATTGTGTCTTCATCTCACCATCAGGTATACATGTACTAAAAGAGCCTCCTCTCCCTCCTATAAATTGGAGTGAGAACATAGGCCCAAAAATCTAGCAACTGTCTGAACAAATGCCTTTCCTGAACATAAAGTATGATTCAACATTTTATTCTTAAATCTACAGTTCAGTTGCTGAAAACAATTCTAAAAGATGGGATGCTCTGTTCAGGATGGTGTGAACAGAAACACTTTACCAGACTAGATTTCAGATATGCTGGCAGCTTAAAGTCTGTATTGATCTTAATTAATCAATGTCCTAGACATTACACTGTCCTAATGCAAACATCACCATTTTCTTTAGTAACATCTTAGTTTAACTAGGCAATATCCAAAGCAGTAGAATACTAGCAACCAGAACTTCCAGTCATATTCTGGGGACAGTGATACAAGTCATTTGAGATTCCATTGCAGGTTTTGCAAATTTTCAGCAAACTAGTTCTGCAAATGTTATTTGAATAAATGCCATCACTTCACTGAACATCTCTGTCAGAGCTTATCCGTTATTAACATGCACACAGATCTGTCTTACGCTGAAGAAGATCTATCCCTGCTGCACTGTGTGCTAGTAAGTCCTTTATAGAATGAGGAGGCTTGGAGATAGCTTGAAGGAGAAGTGACTTGCAGGAGAGATTTGGAGTTGCAAATGCATGGATAGAACCTACACCAAGAAAATTTCTGTGTGTGCTGAAGATCAAAAACAGACAAGAGGCATTTGTCTCACCTTATTCTGCTCAAGGTAGATGAGCAGCACATTGGTGTGAGGACTGTAAGGCAGCAGTGCTATCATTATGGCATGACCCACATTCCTCAGCATTGAACTTAAAAGAATAGGAAATTTTTAATAAATATTTTAATTCTCCAATGAAGCCATGATTTGTTTGAATTGATCTCATGGGATCAATTTGCAAACGTTTAAGATGGTCTTCCACTCCCAGGCTGGGAGGATCAAATCCCTGCTGCTTAGCCCAGCTGTGTGATTTTCTGCACTTTTTTTAAGCCCAGGCTCCAGAATTAACCAAAATGAGGCCAAACCCATTCTGTATCAGGCAAAACACTGTTTAACAACAGCAGCAGTCATCTCTCCCTCATCTGGATGCTAGCAACTGCACAATACACAAAGGTGGGAGTGTACTTCTGCTTTGCTTCTGTGCTAGCTTCAGCTGTCAAAGTCCGGATTGGTCCGAGGCCATGGAATTGTATTCACATTTCCTACAATTTATCCAGAAGACTGGTAAATACAAGTCTCTTCTCTGCCCAGCAGTATTCTGAGGTGCAGAATATCTCTGGGTAAGAATGATTACCCCACGAAGGACAGTAAGTACTCACGGGCTACCTCTCAAGCCTGTCCATGTCTCTTGAGATGGCATCCCTTCCTTCTATTGTGTCAGCTGCATCACTCAGCTTGGTGTCATATGCAAACTTGCTAAGAGTGTTCTTGATTCCATTATCTACATCACTGGTAAAGATGCTGAAGAGCACCAGTCCCAAGACAGAACCCTGGGGACACCACTCACGACTGGCCTCCACCTGGACATAGAGCCAGTGGTAACAACCCTCTGGCTGCAGCTTTCCAACCAAATCTTTCACCCCCAAACAGCAAAGCCTTCCAAGCCTTCTCTCTCCAATTTAGAGATGAGGATGAGATGTGGCTCCCAAGTCCCACGGGCCTTGCACAAGTCTGGGTAGGTGACATCAGTTGCTCTTCCTTTGTCCACTGATGCTGTCAACCCACTGTAGAAGGCCACCATATTAGTCAGGCACAATCTGCCCTTGGTGAAGCTGTGCAGCCTGTCTCAGATCACATTTCAGAACTGCCACAAGGAACAATGGACACGTGAAATTTGTTCTACTCTGAGCACAGCACAGCAGACTCTGTCTGTAAGGAATGGCTGAGACAGGCATGTTTTGTAATGTTCAAGTTTCCTGGCTTCTAGGGACTTGATCTGAGCCCTCTTAATATACTACTGACATGATTACAGAGAGAAAGCAGTTACTTCTGTCATGATTTCCTTTACCCTGTTCTATCAGTTCATGGCATTGCTATATATGAGAGAAGGGAAATAAGAAAATGTCACCGTGGGGCTCAATAAGCTTCTGTCACATGCAACATGATTCACTGCAAATTGACCTACCAACAGCATTTCCCACAAAACCACATTCCTCAGTACGTCTAAATGTTTCTTGAATAGCTCCAAGACTTGTCATAGTTCTATGTTTTTATGGTTTCAGTATTCCACATCAAAACGTCATGTAGTGTACGGGGCACTGCCCCAATCCCAGCTACCTATCCCTGTACATTACAGCAGTCACGGGATCTGACCCTTCCGGGTGGGGGGGGCGCTCTCTTGCTGCGTGGCAGTGGGTGCTGGAGGTGCTTTCCTAGCCATTCCAAGCTTTTCAGGTTTGAATCGGTCCCGGGGGCTCTCTCTCTCTTATCTTGTCTGATTTATTAATCTCAATTTCAATTAAATTGTATATATTGTGTTATTTTGTATTCCGATATTATAGTAAAATAAGTTTTCCTCCATAGATTGTTGCCGCTGCTCTTTTCCTCCCTTCCTTCCTTCCCATTTTTGTGGGACTGGGGTGGGGGGGGAGGGCAGAGGCCTGTCTCCCCTGTCACGGACATAGATTGATCTGGTCAACTCCGTGACAGATTTTTGGCGCCCAACGTGGGGCGATACAGCAGAAGAAGTCTTTACGAAAGGAGAGCGAATAATCCAAATTCTTCTGAGCGCTGGTTTTGCTATTAAGCAAAGCAAAGTGAAAGGACCTGCCCAGGAGATTGAGTTCCTAGGCATAAAGTGGCAAGATGGCCGTCGTCACATCCCGACAGATGTGATCAACAAAATCACTGCTATGTCTCCACCCACTAGCAAAAGAGAGACACAATCTTTTCTGGGTGCAGTGGGCTTTTGGAGAATGCATGTTCCAAATTACAGCCTCATTGTAAGCCCCCTTTATTATGTAACGCGAATGAGAAATGAGTTTACATGGGGCCCTGAGCAGCAGCAGGCTTTTGAACAGATTAAGCAGGAGATAGCCCGTGCCGTGGCCCTAGGGCCAGTACGGACGGGACAGGGTATAAAGAACATCCTCTGCACTGCTGCTGGAGAGAAAGGTCCCACTTGGAGTTTGTGGCAAAGAGCCTCAGGAGAGACCCGAGGCCGACCCCTGGGATTCTGGAGTCGAGCCTACAGGGGGTCAGAAGAGCACTACACTCCAACTGAAAAGGAGATCTTAGCCGCTTATGAGGGGGTTCGGGCTGCTTCTGAAGTAGTCAGTACTGACACACAGCTCCTTCTGGCACCTCGACTGCCAGTGCTGAACTGGATGTTTAAAGGAAAGGTTCCCTCCACCCATCATGCTACTGATGCCACTTGGAGTAAGTGGATTGCACTGATTACACAAGGAGCACGGATGGGGAACCTCAGCCGTCCAGGAATCCCAGAGGTCATCATGGACTGGCCTGAAGGTAAAAAGTTTGGAACACCACCGGGAGAAGAAGTATCACGTGCTAAAGAAGCCCCACCATACAATGAACTACCAGAGAATGAAAAGAAATATGCCCTATTCACAGATGGATTGTGTCGTATTGTGGGAAAGCATCGCAGATGGAAATCTGCTGTGTGGAGCCCCACACGACAAGTTGCAGAGGCCACTGAAGGGAAAGGAGAATCAAGCCAATTTGCAGAGGTAAAGGCTGTCCAGCTGGCCTTAGATGTTGCTGAACGGGAGAGGTGGCCAATGCTCTATCTTTACACTGACTCATGGATGGTGGCAAATGCCTTATGGGGGTGGTTACAGCAGTGGGAGCAAAATAACTGGCAAAGAAGGGGTAAACCTATTTGGGCTGCTGAACTGTGAAAAGACATTGCTTCCTGAATAAAGAATATGGTTGTGAAGGTGCGTCATGTAGATGCTCATGTGCCCAAGAGTCGGGCTACTGAAGAACAGCAAAACAACCATCAGGTAGACCGAGCTGCCAGAATTGAGGTGGCTTAAATAGACCTGGACTGGCAGAACAAGGGTGAACTATTCCTAGCTCGGTGGGCCCATGAGACCTCAGGTCATCAAGGGAGAGATGCAACATACAAATGGGCTAGAGACCGAGGGGTGGACTTAACTATGGAAGCCATTGCACGGGTTATTCATAACTGTGAAACATGTGCCATCATCAAACAAGCCAAGAGGATGAAATCTCTCTGGGAGGAAGGGCGATGGCAAAAGTACAAATATGGGGAGGCATGGCAGGTTGATTATATCACCTTGCCACGATCTCGCAATGGTGAGCATTATGTGCTTACTATGATGGAGGCAACCACTGGGTGGCTTGAAACATATGCAGTACCCCATGTGTTGTAACCTTCACCTGTTCGTATTTTCTGGGAGACCGCAGCTTGGCCAATTACCGAGGTGACACCAATATGGTGAACAGCAAAATGGCGTTTTAATGGAACGAACATGTGCTTATATATGGAGGGGGAGGTCCTAACGCGTTACAACCCGAAGATGGCGCAAGCGCCTAATACAACACCCATGCTACTGCCCAAAACACCATATTGGGTCTGGAGAAACAAGTCCTGTGGCGACATGGCACCCCAGAAAGGATTGAGTCAGATAATGGGACTCATTTCAAAAATTCTCTTGTAAATACTTGGGCCAAAGATCATGGTATTGAGTGGATTTACCATATTCCCTATCCTGCACCAGCCTCTGGTAAAATTGAACAATACAATGGATCCACCACCACCCCAGGCAGCTCATTTCTGCACCTGATCACCCTCTTGAAGGAGTAGCATTTCCTAATGTTCAACTTGAAACTCCCCTGATACAGCTTGAGGGCATTCCCTAGTCCTACTGCTACGGATATGGGAGAAGAGACCAAGCCCCACCTCACCTCAGCCTCCCTTCAGGTGCAGAGTGCGATAGGGTCTCCCCTGACTCCCCTCCAGGCTACGCAATCCCAGCTTCCTGAGCTGCTCCTCGTAAGACTTGTGCTCCAGACCCCTCACCAGCTTTGCTGCCCTTCTCTGGACACGCTCCAGGGCCTCCATGCCTTTCTTGCAGTGGGGGGCCCAAAAGCGAGCACAGTACTCCAGCTGCAGCCTCAGCAGGGCTCAGAACAGAGGGATGGTCACTTCCCTGCTCCTGCTGGCAATGCTATTTCTGATACAAGCCAGGACGCCATTGGCTTTCACGGCCACCTGGGCACACTGCTGGCTCACGTTCAGCCCAGCACGGACCAATACCCCCAGCTCTGCTTCCTCTACACACTCTTGCGGGGCAGCCACTCTGCCCCAGACCTGTAGCGCTGCCTGGGGTTGTTACGGCCAAAGTGCAGGACCAAGGATTCCCTTCGTGTGGCCTCACCCCACACAGCTAGGACATGCCGGGCCGCATGAGATCTCATCCCAGTCCTGCTCAGTGGCATCATCTATTTGAACAGGAGCGAGCTGATGAGCAGCTTCTCGATAGGGTTGGCATTTGCTTTACACAATCGAAATCCGCTGCCTCTGTAAGTCTTTGCCTCTTACTACCACTAGATGGTACCCTTAGCGAGCATTTCCCCTACCTCTGCGAAGTCCAGTTTAATACTCAACCGCAACGTTTCGGAATTGATCAAGTCTGCAGTTTTCTCACGAACAGTACAGGGCCAGGATGCTGGCGCTGGCTGCTAGTGACTGCTAGTAGTAGACTCAAGTGAACAAAGCTGAAGGTGTGTTCAGTATATCAAGCCCAGTACAAAGGCAAGTATACACTGCTATATCACTTGCTCTGCCCTTACGGTGGGCGGGAAGGGGAAGGAGGGGATTTACTCCCCCAGTCTCCACGCAGAGGTTTAGGGATGCAGAGTTTAGGGACGTGAGAAATACAAGGATCCTGACAGCTCTAGTGCTCCCAGAAAGGCATCCTTGAAGAGCAGCCTTGAACGGAGAAGCGTTACTGCGCTCTCCGTAGCTGCAGTTTGGTACTTCAAGGAGTAAACCCGCACTTGAAAAGGAATGGTAGAATCACAGAGCCATTAGGGCTGGGAAAGAGCCTCACACGGCCACGTCCAGCCCCGACCCACAAAGAGTCCTTCCGCGGTTTGTCCTAAGGGAATAATGACGCTATTTGAATAGTCATCATCCAAGTTGCTTTATTGCTAAACCAATATCACGGGAGGACAAAACCGGCCACAGCCGGGGATGGCGGTGCCGTGCCCGCAGGCCGGCGCCCCGGACGCCGCTTTGAAGGGCGCAGCCCGGATGGGCGCTGCGGACGGAGCCCCGGGAGGTACCGACGGCCGCGGCCCCGCACCTCCCCGCTCCGCTCCGCCCCGGCCCGCACCTCCCCGCTCCGTCGGGCAGCCCCGGCCGCGGCCGCGGGAGAGACAGAGGAGGAGGCGCGAGGAGGAGGGCAGGAAGCCGTTGCCGGGGCGGCGCGCGGCTGGGGCGGGCGCTGTGCGGGTGGCAGCCCGTTGGAACGCGTGCCGTTGCCAGCGGCTTGCTTGCCGTGACGCCGCTAAGCACGGCTTTGTGCCGCACCCGGAGCCGAGCCGACGCCGCGCTGCCAGGTGGGGAAAAGGTGGGGAAATAAACATGGGAGGGAGTGGGCTGAAAGAAAGATGCAGAACCACAGAAGTTGCAAGAAAATAACTTGTGATTATATTTCTTCCCACCTAGATATAACAGAGTTGAAAAGAGAGAGCTTGTGAAACAGGAGATCTTGAAGGCAAAGCACAAGGGCAGGGAGAAGCTCAGCCTCGGATAGGTGTACATGGCCGCAGCCAGCAGGCGGGCAAGAAGAGGCTAGCAGAGACACAGCCAAAGAGCAGCGAGACCACCTCAGCTACGGAGCAGCCAGAGCGCCTGAAAATGCGACAAGCACCAGGTACCACAGACACGCACTCAGGGGAGAGACCCCTTCACCAGGGGCTGTTCCCCACGCACGGGGTCCCCTCCCCAGCCGGAGGGCACCCCAGCCTCGCCAGCACGCATGGGGATCTCTTGAAAACTTCAGAGCTAAGCCCCATCCCACCTCCACTCACGGGGTCCCCTCCCCAGCCGGAGGGCACCCCAGCCTCGCCAGCACGCATGGGGATCTCTTGAAAACTTCAGAGCTAAGCCCCATCCCACCTCCACGCACGGGGTCCCCTCCCCAGCAGGAGGGCACCCCAGCCTCGCCAGCACGCATGGGGATCTCTTGAAAACTTCAGAGCTAAGCCCCATCCCACCTCCACGCACGGGGTCCCCTCTCCAGTAGGAGGGCACAGCAGCCTCGCCAGCACGCATGGGGATCTCTTGAAAACTTCAGAGCTAAGCCCCATCCCACCTCCACGCACGGGGTCCCCTCCCCCGCAGGAGGGCACCCCAGCCTCGCCAGCACGCATGGGGATCTCTTGAAAACTTCAGAGCTAAGCCCCATCTCACCTCCACGCACGGGGTCCCCTCCCCAGCAGGAGGGCACCCCAGCCTCGCCAGCACGCATGGGGATCTCTTGAAAACTTCAGAGCTAAGCCCCATCCCATCTCCACGCACGGGGTCCCCTCCCCAGCCAGAGGGCACCCCAGCCTCGCCAGCACGCATGGGGATCTCTTGAAAACTTCAGAGCTAAGCCCCATCTCACCTCCACGCACGGGGTCCCCTCTCCAGCAGGAGGGCACCCCAGCCTTGCCTGCACGCATGGGGATCTCTTGAAAACTTCAGAGCTAAGCCCCATCTCACCTCCAATCACGGGGTCCCCTCCCCAGCAGGAGGACACCCAGCCTTGCCTGCACGCATGGGGATCTCTTGAAAACTTCAGAGCTAAGGCCCCATCTCACCTCCACGCACGGGGTCCTCTCTCCAGTAGGAGGGCACCCCAGCCTCGCCAGCACGCATGGGGATCTCTTGAAAACTTCAGAGCTAAGCCCCATCTCACCTCCACGCACGGGGTCCCCTCTCCAGTAGGAGGGCACCCCAGCCTCGCCAGCACGCATGGGGATCTCTTGAAAACTTCAGAGCTAAGCCCCATCCCACCTCCACGCACGGGGTCCCCTCTCCAGCAGGAGGGCACCCCAGCCTCGCCAGCACACATGGGGATCTCTTGAAAACTTCAGAGCTAAGCCCCATCTCACCTCCACGCACGGGGTCCCCTCTCCAGTAGGAGGGCACCCCAGCCTCGCCAGCACGCATGGGGATCTCTTGAAAACTTCAGAGCTAAGCCCCATCCCACCTCCACGCACGGGGTCCCCTCCCCAGCAGGAGGGCACCCCAGCCTCGCCAGCACGCATGGGGATCTCTTGAAAACTTCAGAGCTAAGCCCCATCCCACCTCCATGCACGGGGTCCCCTCCCCAGCCAGGAGGGCACCCCAGCCTCGCCAGCACGCATGGGGATCTCTTGAAAACTTCAGAGCTAAGCCCCATCCCACCTCCACGCACGGGGTCCCCTCTCCAGTAGGAGGGCACCCCAGCCTCGCCAGCACGCATGGGGATCTCTTGAAAACTTCAGAGCTAAGCCCCATCTCACCTCCACGCACGGGGTCCCCTCTCCAGTAGGAGGGCACCCCAGCCTCGCCAGCACGCATGGGGATCTCTTGAAAACTTCAGAGCTAAGCCCCATCTCACCTCCACGCACGGGGTCCCCTCTCCAGTAGGAGGGCACCCCAGCCTCGCCAGCACGCATGGGGATCTCTTGAAAACTTCAGAGCTAAGCCCCATCCCACCTCCACGCACGGGGTCCCCTCTCCAGTAGGAGGGCACCCCAGCCTTGCCTGCACGCATGGGGATCTCTTGAAAACTTCAGAGCTAAGCCCCATCCCACCTCCACGCACGGGGTCCCCTCTCCAGCAGGAGGGCACCCCAGCCTTGCCAGCACGCATGGGGATCTCTTGAAAACTTCAGAGCTAAGCCCCATCCCACCTCCACGCACGGGGTCCCCTTTCCAGCAGGAGGGCACCCCAGCCTCGCTTGCACGCACGGGGATCCCTTGAAAACTTCAGGGCTAAGCCCCATCTTACCTGCATGCATGGGGTATGGAGGGCACTCCTCTCCCCATATCCTTTCATTTTTTCTCAACAGGATGGATTTGTCGTGGTCAGACGTTTTCGTCTTCCTCCGTGTTGTCTCGTCTTTAAGGAACTTAGAGAAGACCATCCGTGCCCAATGCTGCCAGCATATCTGCCGGAACACCTGGGAAATAAATTGTTGTTCTCAGTGTAGATGTTCTGCTGTTGTTTGCACTCCGGAAAGCAGGCTGGATGGGGGACGGCACTGCAGCTCTCCCCCCACCCATGGGAGAATGCATGCAGTCCCAAAGGGCTGCCCGCTGATAAGTAGCACCACCCTGGGAAGCCTCAGCCTCAGCCAAGAGCTGGGGGAGAAGCAGGGGCTCCAGAGCTGCGCAGGGCCCAGGGGAGCAGCGAACTGGGATGGGGGTAGTGGAAGGTTCCACCACGTGCCGGGTCCCACCGACACTGCTCTTAGCAGGACAGAGAACATCACACTTGTGCAGCTTCTGCCATTTCTTGCTCACAACCTGCAGCAGCACCCAGCTGCATCACTGCACCTGCACTGCCGGTGGAGGAGATGTAGCTGCCCCCAGGATGCCGTGTCCCCAGGTAGCCTCTACCCCCGCAGGAGCTGAGTGGTGCCCCACAGCAGGAAGCATCACCAGGACCCCAACTGCCTTTAGGAAGTGCTACTTGCACCCCAGCACTCCTGCACCACTGCTCCCCGTTCCTCTCCATTCCCACTGCAGCCGCTCCATCTTCCTGGAGAGCAGTGGGCGTGTGCCTTCAGTGCTGGAAGACAAGAAGGAAGTTGCAGGGTGGGGGTCCAGCTTCAGAGAGGAACGTGGTACCAGGCACCCCGTCACCCCACACACAGGAGGAGGGATGCAAGAAGTGCTTTTGTCCTCTATCTGGCACCCAGCCTCAGCCACAAACTATTTCCAAAGGGCACCATACAGAGGCTGGAGATGCAAGGACAGGGCTCACCTTGCTGCTGAGCTGGGAAAGGCTTTGCTGCACTTCTATGCTCACTGCAGCTCCAGACCTGCGGGAAGAGGAACTCTGTGAGCTACCTGCAGGGGGATGCAGCCCATGCACCACGGTTGCATGATTTATGATTTGACCTCTGACTGCAGATTTGCTTACAACCACTGTCACCATAGTGGTCGCCTCATATGGCACCTTCAGGGTGAAGAAGTATGCTGCGGAAGCCCTCAAAGGCCTTTTCTAGTTGTATGTTGTCATCTGGTCTCTTCCCAAAGAGGTCTCTCTGATGCATTTCTGACCCTGGGTGGTTCTGATAGATCTCTGCTCTGTTACGTTCTTTCCTAGAGTAGAGTAGAGTAGAGTAGAGTACAGTACAGTACAGTACAGTACAGTAGAGTAGAGGAACATGGATAGGATAGGATAGGATAGGATAGGATAGGATAGGATAGGATAGGATAGGATAGGATAGGATAGGATAGGATAGGATAGGATAGGAGGTGGAAGGTTCCTACGAAGACCATGCACTTAACTGCCGGAGAGCTAACAAAAAGATAAAGCACATTTATAAGCGCATTGTCCAAATGTCCCTTGGACACTGACAGTCATGGGACATGAGCTGCCTCACTAGGAAGCCCCTTCCTGTTTTCAACCACCTTCACTAGAAATAAATTTGTCCTGCTATCCATTCTGAACCTCCCATGTCATACCTCTGTGCTGTTCCTTTGTGTCCTTGCATCTGTGACAAGGAAGAAGTAAATGGCACCTCCCTCTCCATTTCCCTTTGGAAAGTTTTGGAGACAAAGAAGGTTACCTCCGTTCATCCCTACCAGCCAGCCAGACCATCTTCAGCTTCTCCTCACACCACATGCCTTCCAGCACTTTTACCAGCTTTGATGCCTTCCTTTGCATCCATGCAAGTATCGTAACATTCCCTCTAGATTGTGGAGCACAGAACTGCACACAGTATTTAAGATGAGGTTGCACCAGCACTAAATAAAGCAGAAGAATTGCCAGCCGCAGCTGGCTGTGCTGTGTTTAATGCACCCCATCCACTAAGCCAGAGACCTTCTAACAGAAGATGAGATTACTAAGGCAGGACATTCCCTTCATGAACTCCTGGGGACTATGCCTGATAAAGGCTTTGTTCTTTAAGTATCTCCAATAGCAGGTAATATCCTTAACTTTTCCAGGGCCTGAGCTTAGACCAGCAGGTCTGTTTTCCGGGCATTCTCTGCTCCCTTATTCTTGATCAGCGTAACACTATCTAGGTTCAAACCAGCAGTGCCCTCCCACGACCTTTGGCAAATAGGTGGAAAGGGTCCAGCTTTAACATCTATTAAGTCCTTCAGCACTCTAGGATGAATCACATCAGGCCCTATAGACTTATGAACACTGAGCTCGTACAACTGTTTCTTCACAATTTCTGGCCACAGTTGGGAAGTCACTGCTCTGCCGGTCATGGTCTTCAAATTCAGAGGACTCAGCAGCCTGAAACCTGTCACTGTTATGAAAAACTGAGACTGAAACGCAAAAGCTAACAAACAAACAAACAGCAAAAAAAAGACAACCAAGAAAAATCGGCCACATTAAATGCCTCAGCCTTTTCCTTATGCTACTACAAATGATGCAGAAGGTGATGTCTCCTCTCCTAAGTCATTACAAAGCATATCAGCATTGCATACCGCAGCTGAAACTGGTTATGATTTTATGATGATCTGTGGTCGTTAGCTGAAGCTGACTAATTCAGACTCTGTAGTTATATGCCTTATATGTCAAAGACAGAGGGTATATTATGGCATCCTCAGCAAAAACTTACAGGGAGTTCAACAGTCTGTATGCAATGGAGCTTGTATCAAACAGAAATCTTACTATAAGTTTCCTCTTTTTTTCTTTTTTCTTCTGGCACTCTTGGCCAGACTCCCAAATTCTAGGTATGACACTGTAGTGCCCTGTGAGGATTTCCACAAATTTGACTGTGGCAGCTGGGAAGGCAAACACTCAAGCACAAAAGTATCAGGAAACATCTTTGATGTGTTGTTGGAAGAAAACCAGCTGATATTGAAAAGGCTTTTAGGTAGGAAGAGGCCAAGCCCCACCTCACCTCAGCCTCCCTTCAGGTGCAGAGTGCGATAGGGTCTCCCCTGACTCCCCGCCAGGCTACGCAATCCCAGCTTCCTGAGCTGCTCCTCGTAAGACTTGTGCTCCAGACCCCTCACCAGCTTTGCTGCCCTTCTCTGGACACGCTCCAGGGCCTCCATGCCTTTCTTGCAGTGGGGGGCCCAAAAGCGAGCACAGTACTCCAGCTGCAGCCTCAGCAGGGCTCAGAACAGAGGGATGGTCACTTCCCTGCTCCTGCTGGCAATGCTATTTCTGATACAAGCCAGGACGCCATTGGCTTTCACGGCCACCTGGGCACACTGCTGGCTCACGTTCAGCCCAGCACGGACCAATACCCCCAGCTCTGCTTCCTCTACACACTCTTGCGGGGCAGCCACTCTGCCCCAGACCTGTAGCGCTGCCTGGGGTTGTTACGGCCAAAGTGCAGGACCAAGGATTCCCTTCGTGTGGCCTCACCCCACACAGCTAGGACATGCCGGGCCGCATGAGATCTCATCCCAGTCCTGCTCAGTGGCATCATCTATTTGAACAGGAGCGAGCTGATGAGCAGCTTCTCGATAGGGTTGGCATTTGCTTTACACAATCGAAATCCGCTGCCTCTGTAAGTCTTTGCCTCTTACTACCACTAGATGGTACCCTTAGCGAGCATTTCCCCTACCTCTGCGAAGTCCAGTTTAATACTCAACCGCAACGTTTCGGAATTGATCAAGTCTGCAGTTTTCTCACGAACAGTACAGGGCCAGGATGCTGGCGCTGGCTGCTAGTGACTGCTAGTAGTAGACTCAAGTGAACAAAGCTGAAGGTGTGTTCAGTATATCAAGCCCAGTACAAAGGCAAGTATACACTGCTATATCACTTGCTCTGCCCTTACGGTGGGCGGGAAGGGGAAGGAGGGGATTTACTCCCCCAGTCTCCACGCAGAGGTTTAGGGATGCAGAGTTTAGGGACGTGAGAAATACAAGGATCCTGACAGCTCTAGTGCTCCCAGAAAGGCATCCTTGAAGAGCAGCCTTGAACGGAGAAGCGTTACTGCGCTCTCCGTAGCTGCAGTTTGGTACTTCAAGGAGTAAACCCGCACTTCAGAAGGAATGGTAGAATCACAGAACCATTAGGGCTGGGAAAGAGCCTCACACGGCCACGTCCAGCCCCGACCCACAAAGAGTCCTTCCGCGGTTTGTCCTAAGGGAATAATGACGCTATTTGAATAGTCATCATCCAAGTTGCTTTATTGCTAAACCAATATCACGGGAGGACAAAACCGGCCACAGCCGGGGATGGCGGTGCCGTGCCCGCAGGCCGGCGCCCCGGACGCCGCTTTGAAGGGCGCAGCCCGGATGGGCGCTGCGGACGGAGCCCCGGGAGGTACCGACGGCCGCGGCCCCGCACCTCCCCGCTCCGCTCCGCCCCGGCCCGCACCTCCCCGCTCCGTCGGGCAGCCCCGGCCGCGGCCGCGGGAGAGACAGAGGAGGAGGCGCGAGGAGGAGGGCAGGAAGCCGTTGCCGGGGCGGCGCGCGGCTGGGGCGGGCGCTGTGCGGGTGGCAGCCCGTTGGAACGCGTGCCGTTGCCAGCGGCTTGCTTGCCGTGACGCCGCTAAGCACGGCTGCCTGCTTCACCCGGAGCCGAGCCGACGCCGCGCTGCCAGGTGGGGAAACGGGCCGGGCGGGCGGGGAGCGCTTCGAGCCGAGCAGCGCCGGGCTCTGCCGTCCTCCCGAGTGCCGGCACTGCCTCCGGCATTAAGGCGACCGGCAGCTTTCGTCGCCGCCCGTCTGCTTCGGCCGTTGAGCGACAGAAGACGCGGCGCTGGGGCGCGGCTCGGGCAGGCCGAGCCTAATCTCCGTCCCGCGTTCCTCCTCCTGCGCTCTTTTTCATGGAAAGCTGTGCCAGCTTCTGCAAACGTACAGCTTCCTGAAAAAGTAAGTGTGGTAAACCCGTAATTTTGTCAGTACGGGCAAGATTGTAACCGACAGCTAACAGAAAATAAACATGGGAGGGAGTGGGCTGAAAGAAAGATGCAGAACCACAGAAGTTGCAAGAAAATAACTGGTGATTATATTTCTTCCCACCTAGATATAACACAGTTGAACAGAGAGAGCTTGTGAAACAAGAGATCTTGAAGGCAAAGCACAAGGGCAGGGAGAAGCTCAGCCTCGGATAGGTGTACATGGCCGCAGCCAGCAGGCGGGCAAGAAGAGGCTAGCAGAGACACAGGCCAAAGAGCAGCGAGACCACCTCAGCTACGGAGCAGCCAGAGCGCCTGAAAATGCGACAAGCACCAGGTACCACAGACACGCACTCAGGGGAGAGACCCCTTCACCAGGGGCTGTTCCCCACGCACGGGGTCCCCTCCCCAGGTGTCACAGTTTTATGACTTTTGGCTATCAGTATTCCACACCATAACATCATGTAATGCACTGGGGGTTTCACTTTTAATGCTCAGTTCTGAATATTTGTCTGACGGAGAAGAACTACATTTCCCAAGGAGGCTTTGCGGTCAGCGAGGAGATATAACTGTGTGCAAGGTCACCTGATCTTTCTTCTTTGCCTGCTCTATTCCATCTGCACTTCTCCATTTGCAATTTGCCGTCTGCTGTTATCCATCTGCTCAACTGAACTGGACCTACACCTCAGCGTTGTGACAAGACCTACCTACCTGACAAACTCTCTATCTCTCTCACTGTATTTTGCTGATTGCTAAACGACATTGCTCGACGTCGGATTGTTGCTGCTGTTTTCAATTGCTTTGGAGTTGATGCAGGTGAAGAAGAGCATAGAAAGAAGAAGGATGAGGTGACCTTGCATACAGTTATATCTCCTTGCTGACCGCATAGCCACCTGGGGAAAAGTAGTTCTCCTCTGTCGGACAAATATTTGGAACTGAGCATTACAAATAAAACCCCCAGTGCATTACACGATGTTACCGTGTGTAATACTGATAGCCAAAAGTCAGAAAACAATGACATGGGCCACAGAACCGGGCCAAAGAGGCAGTAAACCGTTGACACCAGGTGGAGGGACCCCAGCCTCCCCCCCCACACAAGGGGATCCCTCGAAAACTCGAGGGCTAAGCCCCATCCCACCTCCATGCACGGGTTCCCCTCTCCAGCCGGAGGGCACCCCAGCCTTGCCTGCATGCATGGGGATCTCTTGAAAACTTCAGAGTTAAGCCCCATCCCACCTCCACGCACGGGGTCCCCTCTCCAGCAGGAGGGCACCCCAGCCTCGCCAGCACGCATGGGGATCTCTTGAAAACTTCAGAGCTAAGCCCCATCCCACCTCCACGCACGGGGTCCCCTCCCCAGCAGGAGGGCACCCCAGCCTTGCCTGCACGCATGGGGATCTCTTGAAAACTTCAGAGCTAAGCCCCATCCCACCTCCACGCACGGGGTCCCCTCTCCAGTAGGAGGGCACCCCAGCCTCGCCAGCACGCATGGGGATCTCTTGAAAACTTCAGAGCTAATCCCCATCCCACCTCCACTCACGGGGTCCCCTCCCCAGCAGGAGGGCACCCCAGCCTCGCCAGCATGCATGGGGATCTCTTGAAAACTTCAGAGCTAAGCCCCATCCCACCTCCACTCACGGGGTCCCCTCCCCAGCAGGAGGGCACCCCAGCCTCGCCAGCACGCATGGGGATCTCTTGAAAACTTCAGAGCTAAGCCCCATCTCACCTCCACTCACGGGGTCCCCTCTCCAGCAGGAGGGCACCCCAGCCTTGCCTGCACGCATGGGGATCTCTTGAAAACTTCAGAGCTAAGCCCCATCCCACCTCTACGCACGGGGTCCCCTCCCCAGCAGGAGGGCACCCCAGCCACTCCAGCACGCATGGGGATCTCTTGAAAACTTCAGAGCTAAGCCCCATCTCACCTCCACTCACGGGGTCCCCTCTCCAGCAGGAGGGCACCCCAGCCTTGCCTGCACGCATGGGGATCTCTTGAAAACTTCAGAGCTAAGCCCCATCCCACCTCTACGCACGGGGTCCCCTCCCCAGCAGGAGGGCCCCCCAGCCTCTCCAGCACGCATGGGGATCTCTTGAAAACTTCAGAGCTAAGCCCCATCTCACCTCCACTCACGGGGTCCCCTCTCCAGCAGGAGGGCACCCCAGCCTTGCCTGCATGCATGGGGATCTCTTGAAAACTTCAGAGCTAAGCCCCATCTCACCTCCACGCACGGGGTCCCCTCTCCAGCCGGAGGGCACCCCAGCCTTGGCTGCACGCATGGGGATCTCTTGAAAACTTCAGAGCTAAGCCCCATCCCACCTCCACGCACGGGGTCCCCTCCCCAGCAGGAGGGCACCCCAGCCTCGCCAGCACGCATGGGGATCTCTTGAAAACTTCAGAGCTAAGCCCCATCCCACCTCCACGCACGGGGTCCCCTCCTAAGGCCGAGGGCACCCCAGCTCCATCCGCACAGAAGGGGTACTGGGTCCCCTCCCCAGGCGGAGGGCTCCTTTCTGCCCGCATCCTTTTTTTTGTCCACAGGAAGCTCTGCATTATGGTCCACCTTTTTCATCATCCTCCCTATTTCTTCTGCTATTGAAGGATTTGTAGGAAGACAAGGCGAACACAAAGCACGTAGCATATCTGCGGGAACACCTGGATAATAAAAAATTTTGCTCACCTGACATTTTCCGCTCTTCTTTCCGTCCCGTAAAGCAAGCTGGAGGAGGTACAGAGCAACTGGTCTCCCCCCAACCACTAGAATTTTCATGCACTTCCAGTGTGCAGCCCCCATCTAAGCATCACCACGCAGGGAAGCCTCAGCCTCAGCCAAGAGCTGCGGGACGAACAGGGTCTCAAAATCTTAGTGGGGCCCCGCGGAACAGAGATCTGGAATGGGGACACTGGGGGGTTCTACCACATGCTGGCTCCCACAACGCTGCGTTTAGCAGGATAGAGAACATCACAATGTTGTGCAGCTTCTGCCATTTCTTGCTCACAGCCGGCAGCAGCACCCAGCTGCATCACTGCACCATCATTGCCGGTGGAGGAGGGCAGATAAGATTCACTTGTCCCCAGGATGCTGTGTTGCCATGCAATCCCTACCTTCGCAGGAGCAGGGAGGTGCCCCATAGCAGGAAGCATCACCGGGACCCCAAGTGCTGATAGGAAGCAAGAGCTGCTGTCACCCCAGCACCACTGCTCCCATTTCCTCTCCATTCCCATCGCAGCCACTCCATTTTCCTGGAGAGCAGTAGGCGTCTGCCTTCAGCGCTGGAAGACAAGAACGAAGCTGTAGGGTGGGGGCCCAAATTCGGGGATGAGCATGGCTCTGGGCACCCCATCACCTCATAAACAGGAGGAGGGATGCAGGAAGTGCTTTTGTCTTCTATCTGGCATCACCCTCAGCCACAAGCCCCATCCAAAGGTCTCCATCCAGAGGCTGGAGATGCAAGGACAGGGCTCGCCTCGCTGCTGAGCTGGGAAAGACTTTGCTGCACTCCACTCCTCACTGTAGCCCCAGCCTGTGAGCCACCTGCAGAGGGATGCCTGGCTGGCAGCCCCTGCACCAAGGTGTAAGGGGACAGGCAGTCCCCACACCGTGGGGGGGCCTCGCACCCCAGCATTCCCAGCACTCACCACCTCCACGGTCTCCTTGTTGCCAGAACAGCTCGCGGCTCTGGGTCGATCCTGGCTGCAGCCCTCGCTCAACCTGCCACAGGAGATAGGCAAGAAAGAGAAAATGATGCAAAACAAGCTTCAAAGCAAGCATTGCAAAGACACATTGCTTTTGTTGCAGCAGCCCTTTGCCTTACTCCTTGCACCCAGCAACTCCGGGCTGGGGAGGCACGGCCCCATCCTGCTCACCTCATCACCACAAGCAGGGGTCTGCAGCACCCACAACTCCCTCCACCAGAGGCTGAAGGCAGCTCAGGGTGCTGCCTGGGATCGGGGAGCTGAGCAGATCCACAAAAATAAAGGCAGCAACACCAGACTCACACCAGTCCCCAAAAGTAAGGCTAAGGAAGCAGGTACTGCAGGCCAAGACCGAAAAAGAAGACGTGGAGCCCCCAGCAGATCCTGAGATGGATCGAGCAATTGGACAAAGACTGATGCATGCTAAAATGCAGTGGCACAGGCAGCAGTTCTATCTGTAAGTCCCAGCAAGGGGAAGAGGGTAAACAGGCTTCCAACTCCAAGGACACGGATGGCAAAAGCATGCAACATGAGGCAGACTGGACCCTTGTCTCTATGCAGAGCAGAAAGAAGAGCCTGCCCCTTGCCCCTGAAATCGCTCTAACCAACAGCTACGAAGCTCTGGGGAACAAGAAGAAGGAGGTGTGGAGAACTCCGCACAACCAGAAGGGAACAACCATGTGAAGACAGTCCAACCAAGGAACCAGTGCCACCAAAGAAAAGACTCATACAGCCAAAGGTAAAGAATATTAAAAAGAAACACATCGTACCCTCTAAAACCTGTAGCAAGCGATGAAAAATAAGGTTGGTAGTTGTGTAGTGAAGAGAAAATGAAGTACAAGACAAATTCTCATAGCAGTAAAAGTATTGCCAGTGGCTTGGAACAGAAGAAAAATATCGAGTAGATTATCTTGACAATCATGTTCCTCTGTCCTGAAATCTGTACTCAGCCTGGCGCTGTGGTTTTGGTTAAACTATGCGGCACACAAAGGAAAACAGAGATAAAAAGTGCTACGTCACTTACTAAATTCTGCATGGTAAAATGAACACAAATTATCACATAAGACTCAGCGTACTACGAATAAACTGAAACTGTGTGTATTGGTCTGGCTAAATCTCTATAAGAATGTCCCATGTCAAGTTACCTGTGCATTGCACATAGCTGATTACAGCATGTATTTAATTGTACTTAAGGTTTGCTCACATAGTGGACAACTTTATTGGACTTTCTGCTGTTATTTTTTTACAGTCACACTGAAGTCACGTTCTGTTCCACTTTTTCTTCTTTTTCCTCTTCTTCACAATACTTTCGCATCAAGCATTCATTTGTAAAGCTTTTCCTGGAATTCACATTATCTTTTTTATCCTTTCCCTGGCATTATTTAGGGCCGTTCCTACAGTGCTTTTGAGTAGCTACCATGAGAGGTTTGCCAGTCTCTACAAAGATAGCAAGACATAAACTAATATTTTAAAATATTGCTAATCTCTGAGAAAACTTCTACAGATTAAAAAACAACAAGCAAACAAACAACCAAAACCCCCATTTGAAAACTAGAGTTTTATCTCCAAAGTTTTGTCTTTCATCGGTGACCGTTGTTTGCACTTAACTTTTAAAAGACATCTTTGTATCTTCGTCCATAGACATTCATTTATTTGATGTTTTACATCGTTGGTTTACCATCCATTAAGCAGATCATTGTTTAAAAGCAAGCATTCTCCTCTGCTCGCTCATGAGCTACTTCTTTCCTGCTCTCGGTTATCAAGTCATTATGAAGTTAAGAAACCATCTCATGCTAACTTTGAAAATGTTGACTCATCCTGGCAAAAATGACTTCCAGCACTGGTTTTGAAACCAACGCTTTTTTTAACATTCAACAAACATTAAGGTGGCAGTCACAGTTTGCTTCCATCAACATCTCCCTGATTCCAAGATCAGAATATTTGGATTTAATGCTGAATGAATTCTGTGCCCTGGATTGTATAGTGCCTACCTATGTAACTGTGTAAAATTAAGTTTAAAGCTTCACTAACAGCGCCCAACTGTACATATTACGGAAACTCGGGATTGCAGCCTAGCTTTCTTAGTTCTAAATGTGGCAAGAATCCAAATCAGTGGTAAAACCAGCATACTATTCACACAACCCAGTGATATTCATCATCTGAAGAAGCAGCCATTTAAACAACAACAACACAAGCTTACACATAAAATAATGCTAAAATATAGTTTTCTTAAAATCAGTATTTCATACCCAAGAGAAAATACATCGCTTCAAAAAACAGTATCCAGACAAATTACACTAACTCATTTATTTCTTCCTGCTAGGTGCACAAATCTTACAGCACGAATACCACTTACCCATCACCTTCTCTAACTTTCTCTTCTACTTCTGTATCTATCTCCATATTACAGCTAGACTAGAAATGGTTCAACGAACAGTCACACAACAGAGCCAAGGCTTCTCTTCGTCTTCATTTCACCTACACAAATCCAACACCTCAAAGATCTCTTTCTTACAATGTTCTCTTCAATTTAAGACTGATTTACTGAGTGTGATTCTTGTTAGTGGCTTTTAGGAGCAGATGAGACAGAATGCAGAAAGGTTGTTGTGCAGACCGTTCCGTATTGCAGCAAAGGAAAGAACTCAGTGATCCCAAGATCCCTTCATCCCATGTGCTAGCCTTTTACAGAAGTTAACAATGACATGAGATGTAAAAGATGACTTGGACAACTTGGAGTAAGTCTTGTTGCCATGTCATATCAATGTCAGCTTTTACAATCAATTGCAAATTAGATAGGATTAAGGAAAACAATAGTCATTATTCTAACCCATATTTTTACATACTTTTCTACCTGTTATCGTTTTAGCATAAATCATTGAAGAGATTATGATGATCCATATTGCAAAAACGTTTAAAATACATTTGGACACAGATGTACATTGCAGCCTATCAGACAGCAACAGATGATCTAAGTCATCAAATGTATTCTGAGAGCTATGTTAAAAGACCAGAGAGCTGCCTCTAAATAATTCAAATTTGACTATGCAAGAACTCTATCCCAAGCAAGCATCAGTGTTATAACCACGTCAGTAATTGCTGGCCAGCAGTGTGTGGCTGCTGAATAAGAGACTTGGTCCTCCCAGAATTGGTATTCAGTTCTGGCATCTCATGTTCCTTTGGGTCCTTTTAGGAATATCAGTGCTCTCACCTCTAGTTTTGCATCCAGATGTGGAGTCCTCAGAACAGGAGAGACAAAGGAGGGCCGCAAAAATGATCCGAGGGATTGAACACCCCCTGTAAAGATGGGCTGAAAGAGCCGTGGCTGTTCATCCTGGAGAAGAGAAGGCTCTGAGGTGACCTGATAGTGGCCTTTCAGTATCTAAAGGGCATATCTGTAGGAAAGAAGGAGACAGACTCTTTAAGAAAAGCCTGTGGTGATAGGACAAGGGGAAATGGTTTTGAACTAAAAGAGGGGAGAATTAGATTGGATATAAGGAAGAAGTTTTTGACAGTGAGGGTGCTGAGGCAGTGGAACACGTTGCCTAGAGATGTGGCTGATGCCCCTTCCCTGGAGACTTTCCAGGCAAGGCTGGATCAAGCCCTGGGCAACCTGATTTAGCTCTGCATTGTCCCTGTTCACTGCAGGGGAGTTGGCCTAGATGATCTTTAAGGATCCCTCCTAACTCAAATGATTCTATGATCAGGGCAAAAATGAAAGGTTTTTGCATGTTGTATTGATACAATTTCACCTTATCAGTCACTTCTATGATTTTTAAAGTTCCCTCTTAATTTATAGCATATTATCAAATCCTGAAGTATAATATTGTTCAGCCAATTCTATCTTCTTCTACTGGCTGCTCCACTACTTTTTCACACCTAAATTACAGATTTTTTTTTCCAGGGTTCCAACATTCTCAAACCCTGCGCTTCTTTCCCTTATTTAAAGGTGATCTTTGTTAACTTACAAGTTTTACAACATTTGAATCTCCAAGCAGTAATTCACTTTTGGCTCTGAAAGTAAAATAACAAGGTGGACTTTGGGAATTCCATCAAAATCCAGTTCACCTGCATCATCATCATCATCATTTTGCATCTACAGAATCCTACTTTACACAACTGCCTATGTAAATATATGCTTTCTGCTCATGTCTTTCCCTCAGTGAAATAGAATCATAGAATCATAAAGATTGGAAAAGACCTCTAAGATCATCTGGTCCAACCGTCCCCCCTACCACCAACATTGCCCGCTAACCCGGCTTGCACTGGTAGCGGGGGTTGCCATAAGCCAGGTTCAAGACTGTGCGCTTGGATTTGTTGAATCTCTCAGGTTCACCCTGGGTCCACTTCTAGCACCTGTCTAGATCTGTCTGGATGACGTCTCGTCCCTTGGGCATGTTGATTGCACCAGGCAACTTTGTGTCATCTGCCAGCTTGCCAAGGGTGCATTCCATCTCACCGCTGGTGTCATTTATTAAGATGTTAAAGAACACTGGTCCCAGTGCTGACTCTTGAGAGGCACCACTCATCACCGATATCTGTCTGAACATTGAACCACTGACCACTACTCTCTGGGTATGATCTTATAACTACTTCTTCATCCATCATGCAGTCCACCCGTCAAATCCATATCTTTCCAACTTGGAGAGAAGTATATTCAGGAAGGATCTTGTCAAATGCCTTACTAAAGCACAGACAGATGACATCAGTTGCTCTTCCCTTGTCCACCAACACAGTCACGCCATCATAAAAAGCAACAAGTTTGGTCAGGCAGGACCTGCCCTTGGTAAAGCCATGCTGGTTGTTCCATCTCTGATAGTGCAGATATACCCAGGAAATGAGCTGTTAGCTGAAGGAGCGGAGGATGACCATGCCAAGAGAGTCCCGCTCTCCCGTTGACTCACTGTTTCACCATGACATGAATCACCATGTCGGGAGAATCATTCTGTTAACGTTTTTGAAGGTGTTTAAGGACTAGAGATCAGAATTGGAGGAAGGTATGGCAAAGTGTTAGAGATGGAGAGTGAGGAAGGATAAGTCATTTTTGTACTGCAACTCCTGTGTACAGTGCAGCAGCAGAGAGATCCTCAGTGTTGCTTGATCTTTGCATGACCCAGGTTGAGTGACCATGTCAATCCTGCTAAGCTCCTGACCTCATCACTCTGTCAGCTCAGTTTTCCTTCTTTTCCATTTTGAACCTTTCTTGCTTGCTTGCTTGCTTTCTCACTTACTTGCTTGCTCTTTCTTTCTCTCTTTTGTTTGTTCTTGTCCCTCACCTCCTTTTCTGCTAAAGGTTTTCTTCTGATCTTGCCACATCTCATAGTTTCCAATCCCTCAGAAGAGAAAACCTTGCTTTCAGGACAGGAGCTTCTCAGCTCTACGTATTGCTGTGCAATGTTGAGAGAGGAGTGAAGCTCTTCTAAAACATACCACAGCACTGACTGAACGGTACCTAGGACATAAAGATTTACTGGTAGCCCTCCTGCTAGCCTGATCAGAGCCTATAGTAACATAAAAAAGCAAATGCCATCTATCATAATCACTCAGAATTTAGTGCCAGACTACATGGAGAATCCTGTCAACATTTCTTGATAAATCAGGATAATCTTCACAAATCTTCTCCACTTGTTGCTTGCCTCCTAGATCCAATATTATTATTTTTCCTGATACAGAGAGGTTAGAATTTTCCCTTAATGGTCCTCTGTCTGGATCTTCCTAATCAGTTCACAGTCTAAAACTGCATGAGGTATCTAAAAGAGCATGGCTTGACATAACATTGACTGTGTTTGTAGAATTCATTTAAGTGAAAGTTTGCAAATTTTTTTCATTTTTCATTTATTTAATAATAGTATGTGGAAATGCAACCTATTACTCTGAAATGTAGGTCTTGTGTTGTATTCGTGCCCTTTGGTTTACATAGATAATTCTCATAGCTTAATGCAAAATAGCAACTATTTTGAAAACATCATAATTTAAGGAGGTAGAAAACCCTAATGTTTTGGGTAGTCAAGTGAAACTGTTCTAGGCTCCAACCAAGACCCAAGATTCCAGGCCTTCATGTTCAAGAAATTACCTATCCTTGATAGAGAATTTTTTTCTTCTTAACATACTTTTATGATGGCACAGTAATCAGAACAGAGCCAGCTTCCTCTGTGGTTTCCCTGGAAAGGCTGAAATGTAAACCATTCCACTGCCCTATCTGTTTCTCTGCAGTGTCCCCCATCTCCTGTTTACTACTCTTGCTGGAAAGAAGTGTGACAAGCTTAAGATGGAGGATGAGGAAGGCTACACCACACTAAATTTACGACTCCCAGCCTTCAGTTATTACTGATGGATACTCAAGCAATAACAAATGTCCTATATTTAGTACTCCAGCCCATTGTGTTACAGTAGACAGTAAGTACATATGGAAATCAGTTATCTGTCTGAATCGGGATGTAACTTGAATTAGCATGTTCATCTTGGTTACTCTAGAATCCTTCAAAACTTTATAGTATATTCTTGTTTAAATTTTCATTGAAAAAGCAGTCTTAGGTGATGTGCTGTATGATCACAGAAGATACTTTTTCTGAAGACTTTGAGGTCTATATTTATGCCAATTATTTTGTTCTATTTATGTAAACACAGAAGACAAATTCTGCCTTCATATAGATGTTATTATTTTGGTAAGACTTATTTGTTACAGTAGGGTACTGCAAGAGAGAAAGGCAGCCTTTGGAAATTGAAGGAGCTTGCTCAGCCAGTGGAACCAGAAAGTTGCTCTGTTTTTCAGTCATAGTATGAATGCAAGCTCATATGGGAATGTATTTTTATTTGTTCAGAGTCTTTCTAAAAGGAAAATGAGTGTTAATAAAGTAGTCCAAAGTTTTTCTGTAAGGAGACTGAATGTTAAATAAGTTTTGTTAAGTAAGTGTATTTTGCTTGTGGAATGCCTGAGTCCATAAGAATGCAACCTGAATACAGTTGCTGTTGCTCAGAACTTACGGAACAGGCTTTTGCATGAAATAAGCATAATTGATGCTAATCATATATTGAACAGAACAGTCATAGACTAAACCGATATAACTCTGGTGCTGTTTGGAATAGATTCAGCACTATCCTCTGAAAGTGAGAAGGATGGATAAGCTGTTGGCAAGCAGAAGCCAGAAAGGCAGGGATACATACTAGGTAGTCTTATCTAAAGGCAGAGTTTCCCAGAAGAAAACATGATGGCAAGCTCAGAAAACTCTTAAATGACCTCTTTTTGGACATAAAGGGACATGTAGGTAGACTTGTGTACCAATTAATTAGGAGTAATCACCATAGTTCATCTTTGCCACTCTGCATCTTGAAAGGGCTAACTAGGTTTAAGTCTGATTAAGTTGCTCAGGCTGTTGCCTGTTTGAATTTTGGAAACCTCCAGGCATGGAGATCTCACAGTCTCTGTGTGCACCTGTTCCAGCATGGAAAGGAAGAATTGTTTTTCTTCGCATCTAATCAGAAGTTCTTCTGGTGCAAATTGTGACTGCTGCATTATACCCTTTTCTGTGCCTCTGAAAAGGCTGTGGCTCTGTCTGTGAAGCTCTTCTACACAGTGGGGGACTGAAATTAGGTCCCTTAGCTTCCTTCAACTATTCTGTAGGTGTGACTGTATTATCCATCTTAGTGGTTCTCTGCTGGACTCTATAGCTAGTTTACATCTCTCTTGACTGAAGGACCCAGCACTGGACATGTTACTCCAGATGTGACTTCATGGCTGCTAACAGAGAAGAAACTGATTTCTTTCAAGCTGCTGCCTACAGTCTTGACAGTGCAGCACAGTGATGGTCAGCTTTCCCTTCCATAAGTGCACGCTGGTGACTTGTGTTCACGTTGTACACCAGGACCTTGAAATCTTGATCACTATACATGCTTTCCAGCTGCACTGGTTAATGGAGTCATACTGTTAGAAGTAGAGGACTTTGCATTTGTCTTTTCCAAGCTCTGTTGCACTTGCAGCTCATTCCTGCTTTAAAAAGCATCTCTACCTCCTGCACACCAGTCACTACCCACAGCATTGTGTCTTCTGCAATCTTGTGAAATGGCCTTAACCAAGAAAGATTAGGATCATCTTTCTCAGCTGTGGCTATGTAAGTTACCAGTCTGGGTATCATCTAGGCACTTCTGGAGGATACTTCTTTTCACCTTATAAAAGACTTGTTCCTTGCATGCACTGGACTCAAATAATAGTCCAAACAAAGTTACAAACTTGGCATTTGTAACCAGTAGAGTGTGGATTGGACTTGGAAAAGTATTACAGAAAATTGTAGATCACTACTTCACGAAATAATTGTATATGAAAATATTTTAATTAGAGGATAGTCAGCTTTAAATTTCTGGAGGACTATATTCCTGATGGGCATTGATATCCAATGGAAATTTTGAGAAAGAGCCTGAAGAAAGATGCACAGTTTAATGCTGGAACGCTGCAAGCATTTTGAAATTCCAATCAGATGCTAGAAATTTTTTATCTAAAACTAGATGGTATCTTTTTTCCTTCATGACGAAATCTCACAGTTTGTTTTACTATTTCTAGAATTGTGGAAATTTCAAAACTGAATTTACTTACCTACTTTCTGAGAAGAGATTTTGCTTTAAAACACTACACTACAGCCTCTGTTAATACATATTTTCAGTGGATATTTCTAGAAACAAAAAACAAAACAAACAAAAAAACTCCTAGAAATTCAGGACAGTGATAACAAAAACTTTGTGGTAAGTAAAAGAGAAGGTCTACAGAAGAGATAAGGGCGGTGATGCTGGAGAGCAGGTAACACCACTGTGAGGAGGCCTTTTGTTGCTGATTTTTTTTTCTTGTTTGTTCCAGGAGTCTCTGCCTCATCCGCCATAAGGCAACCAGCAACCTTGGCATTCTTCGCTTTGAGCCTGGTGCTGCTCACAGGTCTGGTGGTCTTACTGTCCCTGTGTAAGTACTGTGGTGTCCCGAGGTACTGCTGTGCAGTGATTTACTTCCAGCAGTGCAACTGCTGTGTCTGTTTATGCTGACCATCCCTCCAAACACCCATGGAAATAATATAACAAGAATGGAAAATTCCCTGCTCCATTGTGCATCTGCACATGTCACTTAGATTGACTTTGGTCTGTATTCACAGCCTCTGCCCCATCCCACACTGACAGAAAACCTTCCAGGTGCAACAAAACTTCCACTGCACTTAAAAGGAGTAACCGAGGAAAGGCTGAATCCTTCCTCAAATGCTTAATTTTTGTAACTGAAATTCATCTCCTTGGCTACACAGTGCCTCCAGTGACTGTTATTGCAATCTTTCAATTACCATTCCCACTTTCTTGAATTGCAAGTTTTTTGCAAGGATGACAATTTGATGACAGTAGAAACATTTCAATTTATCAATTGGAGCTGATGCTACAGTACGTATCGAAGCAAAGAGAGAGTTCAAGCTCCTTTTCAGTGGGAAGGATTCTTTTGCAAGCACTCAGGACAAACGCTCAGGGTAGTCCACGATTGTTAGCTCAGAAATATTTATGTGAGTTTCTAGTTCGCCGTCCGATGCATCCCAAGCTGAAGTATTAGTAACCACAAATAAAATCATTTAAACCTTTGTTTAGATCACTTTTGAAATTCTCCAAGGGTAGAGATGCCACCACTTCTTTTCTCAGTGCTGGAGCTTGATGAAGAACTTTCTTCTAGTGACCAACATAAATACCTCAATTCTTAATTTGTGATGGTTGCCTACTGTCATATTGCTTTCTGCTCTCCGGGGCAGTTTTGCTCCCTTTTTGTAAATGTCCTTTGAGTAGCTATAGACCCCTATTAAATCCATTTGCAATTAATTCACTTTTGGCTGAAAATCTCCTTCACCCTACTCCTTTCAAAAAATAACAATACAGATGATGTATAGGCCGCACATGCAAATAAATCAGACAAAAATTGAAGAATACCAAGAGCTACAATTTAAAATTATTTTTAAAGGAAAAACTCTGATAAGAATTTTCATCCCTTCAGTTTTTCAGATATACCAGGACCCTGAAGAAGGAAAGAAGCTGCAGGCCCCTATGAGGGAAGCATTGTGTTTTGAAAGGAGGGCAAGGAACGGTAAATGTACTGATTATGTATATAAGCTTGAATCATCCACTTTCAGAGCCCATTGAGAGCTGTAAAACCATGGGGAAAATAATCTGTTCACCTACTGTCTGCTTGTAAGTTGTGGTGGTATTTGAGATGTAGACATGAACAAAATAACATGTATAACAACTTGTCTCTCACAGGCCTCCAAACATCTCAGATGATTCCTAACTACCCTTAATCTTCTTTCCTCAGTCAAGCCAGCAGCTGAAGCCCCAGTGTTACTTGCAAATGTGCAAGTACTCTCTCTCTGATTTTTAGAAACAGAATGTGCTGTCTGTCCAGCAAGGTGGAAAAGCAGTGAAGTTGGCAGCTGCTTCTATGTTTCAAAACAGAAGAAAACATGGAAAGAAAGCCAGGAGTTCTGTTCCACGAGAAACTCCACACTTATTGTGCTGAAAGACAAAATAAAGATGGTATAGTTTTAATCTCATTCTTCCTTTATGTCACATGTATTTTAACTTCAAGAAATGTGGCGACCAGAAATTAGTTTGGTCATTTACAAGGCCTTTATTTGTTTCCTCTGTGTCAAGTGGTCTTTTGAAAATTAGAGGATTTTTATGACTTGTAACACTTTCTTGTGTTACACTAATTGTGTTAGCAAAAATGACACTGAATTATGAAATACCTAAATTAGCTTATCCCTAGATAAATTGCATATTGTCAGCATGGAAAGGACACCTAGCACACAGAACATATATCTCTGTTATCTCTTTCCACAAGTTTTGTTGCTGAGAACTCCTAGCATCAAACCTAGGTCTACAATTGATCTAGAGTGGTCAGTACACAATGCTGTCATTTGTTGTATAAAATGGCAGTCCACAGTTTGGGTTTTGTCACTGTATTACACCCTTCAAAGACTGACATTAATGACAGCACAAAGGATAGACAGCAGAGGATTTCATTATGACTGAATAAGGTTTAGGGAATTAATAGTTTTAAATAAGCTTCTTAATTTTGTTATTTTTGTTGACTAATGAAAAATTAGTAATTTACTGGCAGAAGCATATTTCCCCTTTCTGTACTCACGTATCTGGATACCTTTTTCACTAGCTGTTAAGCTTACACAAAGCCCAAAAATCCTTGTTTGCTTTTGGCTATGTAAAACTTTTGAAAGGAAAATGCT